TTTCAACATCTGAAAGAACATGCAGCAATATTAAATAACTTTGTACTGTCTTATACTGAACATTTTCAACCTCTGAAAGAACATGCAGTAATATTAAATAACTTTGTACTGTCTTATACTGAACATTTTCAACCTCTGAAAGAACATGCAGTAATATTAAATAACTTTGTACTGTCTTATACTGAACATTTTCAACATCTGAAAGAACATGCAGTTATGTATATAAATATAATAGTTTGTTTGTTTGTTTTGAATTTTGTGCAAAGCTACAAGAGGGCTATCTGCACTAGCCATCCCTAATTTAGCAGTGTAAGACTAGAGGGAAGGCAGCTAGTCATCACCACTAACTCTTAGGCTTCTCTTTTACCAGTGAATAGTGGGATTGATCATCACATTATAATGCCCCATGGCTGAATGGCCAAGCATGTTTGGTGGGACGAGGATTCGAACCTATGACCCTCAGATTGCGAGTCGAGCAGCCTAACCAACTGGCCAGGCCTAAGTATAATAGTACTGTCTGTTGTCTGTTCAAGTAAGTACTTTGCAGGGTGTGGATGGATCTTAAAATTAGTATGAAGGTTCATTAGATCCATGCGGGGATACATACATATTTTCAGTTTTGTATTTTGCAGTTTTTATGGGTGTTTTTTACCACTACTTCACCCCCTGTTGATGGATCTTCCCCAAATTTTGCATGAAGGTTTGTCGGGTCCATGCAAATTTGAGGTTTCATATTTTTGTTTTGCAGCTTTTATGTACATTTTTGAATTTTTTTGCAATTAGATATATGGGAAACAACTTTTCATGTTCTAAGATAATCTTTCATTAATCACAAATTTACATAACTTCTGTTCAGGGGATGGGTAATCCAGCTAGTATTATAATAACTTTCTACTGTCTTATACTGAACATTTTCAACATCTAAAAGAACATATAATAACATTAAATAAAGTTTGGAGATGGCTTGAATGAATAGCAAAAGAAACCTTATTATAAATGTAAGATATTTCAACAAACTATTGTCATCATCTAGTACGGTGTTTCGACAAAAGTTTGTAAAGATATTGTACATCTTTAATAAAGTTTTGTTCACTACCCGTTCGAGCTATCATCAAACTTTATTCTCTGAAAAGTGGGTTCCTCATCATCAAATATTTTATTGACAAGAAGGAACCTCTAGTTTAATCTAGGCTGTTCCATCCACTAAAGTATACTTTTAAAAAAATTATAAAACCTCATAGTATTGAAATACTTATTGAGCCTTCCTTAAAATAACTACATCCGAAATCAACCCGTTCCAAAGGCTAACCACCTTGTTAGAAAAGTAAGACTGCCTTATCTGAAAATGATTCCTACCCTGCGAAAATTTATATTTGTGTTCCTAGTCCTACAAAATGATTATGCATCAACACCATCAATTCCCTTACCAATCTTAAACACTTTAATCAGTTCTCCTCTATCTCTTCTTTTCTCAAGAGAAAATTTCAAAGGTCTTAACCTTTCTATCCCAGGTATCATCCTAGTAGCTGTCCTATGATCCCTTTCTAACAATTCATGTCCTTGCTAATGTAAGGAAATTATTCCTTATTGGTAAAACAACCAACAGTTATAATTTTCTTAAACTGAAAATGTATTTCCGATAGGTATATACCTCCTCTCACATAAATTGCTATTATCGTTTAGTGTTGTCATCTAAATAGTTTTTCACATGCCACAAGTCTTGAGCTCCCACATACCCTACATTCAACATGGTTAAACTATGTCTCACATGTAAATCATCTTGCGACAACCCTCCACAAATAAGAGTGTGACACGCTCTCCTGACTCATGTGACTCCCACCATTTGATTCTACTGAACAGAAAAGAGAAATACCAGTTTTCAATTGGGAGGAAGGGTGGGAAGTGTGAAAGGAGGTAGGTACCTATCAGAAATACATTTTCAGTATAGGAAAATAATAGCTTCCAATATGGTACATTACATCTAACATAAATAGCTAGAATCCCACACTGAATAGGTGAAGAGACCGGTGTGAGAGAAAGAAAGAAGCATTTTTCAAAAGCATCTGAGGAGATCCTTGCATTAAAGGAACATATGTGGTACACCGCACCACTTCTATACCAGGTATACTATTCACCAGTGTGGAAAGAGGTGACGCAGAAAATGGGAGGAGCACATCCAAAATGAAGAGAACAATGGTTGGATAAGAATCCGAACCACCCAACATCAAAATATCAATCCCATAGATTACAGTAATGTGGGTAAGAGTAAAAAGGATGTGCCTCTGGATGTAGAGTGGCTAGGGCTCGATGGACTGTACATGGCAAGTCAATTCCATACAAAACCCAGCTGCCATGAATAGACATCCATGTGGGGGTACAAAAGAGGATCATACTAGTGGCAAGTCAACTATAATCCAAAACCCAGACATTTGGTGGGAGTAGGAAAGAGGACCATACAGTCTTCACCTCAAGTTCAGCAGACCGGAGGGAATCTCCTAACCCTGATCCATGAACAGGACACATCCGGGAACCCGTCATCCAGACAATCAGTATAAGAAAGATGTCTCTATAATGTCTCACTCAAAACCAATCTGACAGGAACAGCACCAGCACACTAACATCTTCAGTATAAGAAAATCATCGAGGGATAGCATAAAAGAAAGAACTGTATTAATTGAGTGAGGAAATAGAGACACCTATAATACTTATGTTGATTGGCTCAGCTCTGAATTCAAAACCCATCCACTGGAAACTGACATCCCTGTGGGGGCAGGATGAGGGATCCA